CATAATATGACAGTTCTACAAATTATAAAAGCTGATCTGGGATCTGGCAGGGAGATGCTGCATCCAAGCCATCTGTGTAGCAAACTATTAAAATGTAAATTTTAAAGGTGTAACACTCTACTATGTTTATGAACAAAGAAAAGGGAGAGGTGACTCCAGTAAAATATTTTGATGCTGTACTGAAGCAAAACATTTTATCAATACCCACATGTCCTTGCAGTTTTTACCACCCAGAAAAATGCTTTTATTGACTTCCAGCCGCCGGGAAGTCCGTTGCTCCACAAGCGTTAAGGGCGTCAAAATGCTCTTTACACACATCTGACTTCAAAGTGCACAAGCATCTCAGACGATATCTCAAAATACATTCTCTCTGAATCCAGCATGGATTCCAGTCAACAACAAGAAGAAACATTATTTAATAAATAAAATTTAAAAAAAAGAGAAACAATGAACCTTTGTAAGTATGACCCATCAACCAAGCCTCCTCCAAGAGGGCAATGATAACTCATCCAGGAGGACTCAACCCCTAAAAACATCTACAGCACTGCAGATCTCACAGACTATAGTTAAAGGCAATGTTTTCAACTCAATGGTAGAAAAAGGGAAAATAATTGACAAAATTTAAGTCAAGGAGGGAAAAAATTTAAAGTAATAAGAGTGATGAGACGAAGTGTGGAAGATGTGCATCCTCTTATGTCTGATAGCATTTCAGCTTAAAGTACTGAAAGTCTTTGTGATAGTGCTGCGGTTGGGGTGCTAAGCTCAAGAGCACAAGGGACATCTGCTAAGACGGTAACCTGAGGAACTTTAACACGTCCATATCATCATTTTAAAAAGGTGCAAAAGAAAAGGAAATAAGAAAAAATACTGGCTTTATTAATGGTCTAGTCAAAGTAAAGACTTAAATCCTACTCAGATGCTCTGAGATGACCCAAAAACTCCCTAATGTTGGAATTTTCCTCAAAGACCCAAAAATGGGACAAACACTTAACAAAGATGAGGAAAGTATGTATTGTTTTGTTTTTAGCATAGTGCTAATCTAAAATATATAAGGGGGAGGAAAAATGCCATAAACACAATAAATCCGTCAGAAGGGAAATGCATTTCCACAGGAATTTAGAGAAATTGGGTAAACATTTAGGTTTACAAAATATCTTTTTGGATATATAAGGTTCAGTTTAGCAAATAAGAGCTTTCTCTGTATTGATTTTTTCTAATTATTTACATGGCTGACGCTGATTAGCCACGCTCCTGCATAGAGAAAGAAAAGCACAGCACTACTTAACATCATCAATAAGAGGCCATTAGAACAAGCACTCAGGAGATGGTGAGACTTTACTGACCAATATACCTTAAATAACACAATAAAAAAATAAGGGATTTTCATGTATTGATGTTATTTCATCAATATTTAACTCATATTTAACTCTTATTATTCTCAGCATTAATAGACCAAAAGGAGAAAAACTATGATATTTCATTATTATATTACAATCCCTGGTAGGTCTATTGCCAATAAAGGTTTTTCCATTTACTGACGGGGACTAAATAAATTGTGAAAAGGATTTAATGCTAAATACTTCGAAAATTGATTAAAAATACTGGAATGATACAAAAAATCTAAAGAATGTGCATTTTCATTTTGAATTAATCATCAAATAATAATCAGCCCATAATATTTGTTTTTAATTTATTCGGGAAAAAACATTAAAATAAAATGGGGAAGCTAAGAGCTAAAAGTCTAAAAAACAAAAGTATAATTTTGCTTTTATATCTAGTTTACATTGGTCTGTCTCCCAACAAAATCAGATCTTTTAGAATGCATGGAGTTTGTAAGAAAACAATATGAGCCACTTTCACCCCTGCCAACAAGTGAACTTATGAATGACTCATTATTCAGTGGCCTAGTCAAAGTATGCGCTAGTGGCATTTCAAACTCTCCAGTCTTTCTGAATTAAACAATTGTGCAAAGAAGAGTGGATCATCAGTGGGTTTAGGTGGGAATTACTTGATTATAAAAACCATAGTGTGTCTGAACAGCTTTTATTTCCCATCAACAATTCAAATATTCGTTTCTGGATCTGCTTTTTCTGCTGATATCAGCATGCAGTTCATGATCAGAAACCTTCAAAGATGACAAAAAAGATTAAAAAAACAGAATAAATCTGGAAGGATGCAAACGTTCTCATGTGCTAAACTGTTAAACTGAGGAGTCAGAAGGCTCAAGGCTTGTTTGACTTTATTACGTAACAAAGAAATAAAAGATTGACCTCCCCTCCTCAGTGGTTTCTTCCTTGAATCTAAAAATAGACCATTCATTCTACCCATATAGACATAGAGGCCAACACTAGCATCATCATCACCATCACAGCTGGGCCTTTCAGATTCACTCCAACAAGTCGCTTACACAGGACATGAGATGGATCCAGTTAAAGGTAACTCAGCAGTGCATAGAGTGCATAAATAGGTTGAAAGCTCCTCTCCTGGGCTTTTGGGAGCCAGTAGACTGATAGGCATTCACTTAGCCTCCAGCCTGGTCTGCAAACTATCAACACAGGTAACTACAGCTGGAAATGTCATAGTTTAGTTCAGTAAATTAAAAGAATGTTTGGTCTCTCAAAGATGCGCCAATCACATAATAGAAATGCATGATTTAATTTCTAGTTTCATTAAAATGATTACATCAGAAGGCATGAACTTAGATTTAAGGACTGCAGTGGCGGTTCTAGACTAAATATACCAGGGGGCCAGGAGGGGGGGCAGCGTGTTTTCATGGGGCCACAAAAAAGCATAAAATAAAAAAACAGGGCAAGGGATTCATATGAAGTAAGATAGCTGCATGAAGTCAAATTTTTATTCAATTAGGTTTAATTACAATTATATTTTTATTAGGTCAATATACATTCATAATTTAGAAATTTTACATATTTTTCACTTAATTTAAGTTAAAATAGATTTTTTTTAAACTGATCAATTCAGCTATAAAACTTAGAGCATTTTTTAAATTTGTTTTGAAAGAAAAACATTTAGTAGATGAAAAATGGGATCCTACCTCAATACCACGCATGCTATCACCTTATTGTTTCTTATCTGTTCCAGCGCATAGTATCATTATCAATCAATCCCTTTATTTAGACACAATTATGGTCCATAAACAGACAAAAACAAGAACAATAATAAAAAAGAGAAAGAAAGAAAAAAAAAAAATAAATATATATATAAAATAAAATAATCCCTGACATATAAAGCGACAATGATTCCACAAACTGTATTATGACTTAAGTACAGGGGCCATAACAGGGGCCAGAACATGATCTACAGGGGCACCAGCCCCCGTTGGCCTCTGTCTAGAACCGCCTATGTGGGAATGCAGCACTGATTTTATTTATTTGACAATATTTTTACCTTAAAATGTAAAAAAAAAAAAAAGGTAGTTAAGATGTCTAAAGACAAGAATACCCCCTATGTTAACACATCCATGTTTAAAGTCGTAGGGAAGCGGCTGTTACAAACGTTGCATTTCGGAATTCTACCGAGTGTTGCACGACTTTACACGAGTGAATAAAGTGAATGTGATTGGTCCTTTATCAAGGGGGCGGGATTGTTGTGGTGGAAGGTTCGCAAGCGGTTTGGTTGTGGTCAGTTCATTGGAAGCATCTTGCTAACCAGTTAGCAACTTAGTGCTAGCAGGTTCCCAATAGGAAATTCCATTGGGACCAAGTAGCACTAAATTGGTGACTTAGAAACGACACTGTCAAGGAACGCTATGGACAGAGGAAACATGCAAGAGGAGGAGAGTTTAGTGTCGGAGGTCGAGGATGAGTTTCCTCCGTCATACGTTTTTTAGAGGAGGAAAGCGGGGACGAAGATGTTGTGGAAGAGGACGCCAGGGCGGCAGAAGCTTGGTTTGGTGTAGAAGGCTTACAGCCGTACATGTTTGAGCCCTTGCCTCGCAACGCTGGCAGTTCTGTTAGCTCTACGCCTGCTGAAGACACAAAAGTCCATCCCCGTGAACACTGGGACGGAACTCAATGGGAAAGTAAATGACTCTTATTCCAACCGTTGCGTATATTAGCTGCAACATCTGAATCAAGATGCCATGACCGAAAAAATTTGATTGACAGATGACCGTTGATATGATTGGCTGAATGTAGGTGTTCAGGCTGACGTATAACTAACTGACCTGACCTAACTGACCTGCATAAAAAAAACAACACTGATTTTAAAACAGGATTTTTTTTTTTTTTTTACAGAAATTTTCTAAATATGTGGGACAATATCATCTGATAAAGAGTACATTTATATACATGTTGAAGCCAGAATGATTTGACATTTAAATATGATCCCTACAACTTTAATGAAGCCACAGCTGATAAGCCCCTTTAAGGAGCACTGGGGGAGCATCACTCTGTGTCAGTCCCTCCTCCATTAGATCACTGCCCATATTTCAGCTCTTAATCGCTTCCTCAGACCAGATAGAACCATGATGATCACCCTGATCTGATGTAAAAGAAAAAACAAGCTTTGAAGCTCTTGGGGGGAAAAACTTGGGCAAACACGTGGAAAAGATGGAAGATGGAGGAGTGGATGGAGGATGGATGGAGGAGTCTGAGGGAAATCAGTGAAAGCCCCAGGAGGACTGAGGTGGCATTCCTTTGTGTGTGTGTCACATATCAGATGGAGTAGAGGAACATTAACCCATGGGGTCTGATTTATCCTCAAATCAGATTGAACCTAAGCAGGAAAGTGTTAAAAAAAAGAAAGAAAAAATATGTTGAAATGGGATTTATTTGAGACAAACTTAGGCTTTTCATGTAGGCCTGCCTGCAGCCTTCCCCCCTCATGTCCAACCTGCTCCTCATATAAGTAATAAATAAACCTACATTAGTAAACACCATGAGTGCTTCTGGCTTTATTTGGGTTTTATTATGTTGATAGCAGCCAGAGCAGCTGAGCCTAGTCTGCATTTTAAATGGATCCCAGCTGCTCAGCTATTTTACCTTGGCTGCTGCGCTGATCCACCTTCACCGATCCGTCTCTCTGTATTCTAACATCCTCCGGTCCGCAGATCCTCCGCGGTGATGCGGCAGCGGAGCCGCCTTCGCCCCGGTGCGCCTTCTCCAGGCTCCGGCAGCACTGATAGCACACCGCCCATGCCTGCTCCTCATTCACCGGCTGGCTGTAGAGCCTCAGTATCTCCTCCAGAGACAGATCCTCGGCAGAATTCATCGCGTCATTCTGGTCCCCCCGGTGAACCGCAGCCTCCGTCAGCGCTCGGTGTTCTCCGCCGGAGCGCCGCTCCGCCATCCTTTCATTCTCTCAGGTCCAGGCCGAAAGCAGGGAGGCGCTCTGGGGGCATCGGTGCTTCCTTTCTTCACTGGGCAGCAGGGATACAAACACCGGGCTTGTTTCCCCACCCGTCCAACCGTTTGCCATCAGACGTCAGTAGGTGGCGTATTTACGTCCACACCTCAGCGCGCGCGCGCCTCTGGGCTGAGTCTGAGCGATGGAGTGAATTTTGTTCCATTATTTTTCCAAAGAACACGTTTTGTAAAACAGAAATGTTAAAAAACGCTTTAATCAAAAAAAGGTTTTGGGAGTAATTTTTGTGATTTCTGAGATTGTATTTTTGTTCAAATTAATATATGTGTAATAACTTGTTTATTCTATTTCCCTAGCTTTACCATTAAATATTTATTAACAAATTTTATATTTTTCTTTCTTTTTCTCTTTTTTATTTGTTTTCCCCTTGCCCAAATGTAAAACTTCTCCGGGTTTCAAGCTTTATTTTTATTTTACCAGTTTTTCTTTTTTTCTTTTTTTTTTTGGGGGGGGGGTTTTTTATTTATTTATTTTTTTTTTTTCATGCTCCAAATATCCTTCCCAAAATCTCAGACAGGCTTTCTTGTCTCCAGTGTTAGCTCTAGTCATTTACAGTTTTTTTTTTTCTTTTTTTTTCTGATGGCTTAAGCAAAATTTTTGTTACTATTGGGTATTTTTGCAAAACTCTACCCACAAATAAGAAAACCTTACACATGCTAATAAATCTCTTCAAACCTTTGTTTTGTATCAAAACATTAACAAAAGCTGTTATATTAATAAATACAGAATGTGGCTTTGGGAGTAATTTTAGTGATTTCTGAGATTGCCTTTTTGTTCAAATTAAGATATGTGTAATAACTTGTTTATTCTATTTTCCTAGCTTTACCATTAAATATTTATTAACAAATTTTATATTTTTCTTTCTTTTTCTCTTTTTTGTTTGTTTTCCCCTTGCCCAAATGTAAAATTTCTCCCAGGTTTCAAGCTTTATTTTTATTTTACCAGTTTTTTTTTGTTTTTTATTTATTATTTTTTCATGCTCCAAATATCCTTCCAAAATCTCAGACAGGCTTTCTTGTCTCCAGTGTTTGCTCTAGTCATTTACAGTTTTTTTTTTTTCTGATGACTGAAGCACAATTTTTGTAACTATTGGTTATTTTTGGAAAACTCTACTCACAAATAAGAAAACCTTACACACGCTAATAAATCTCTTCAAACCTTTGTTTTGTATCAAAACATAAACAAAAGCTGTTATATTAATAAATACAGAATGTGGCTACTGGACGGTGATTGTATAAATAAAAATCACATCTGCCTTTTTGCTTTCTCTGTGCACCAGGTAGGCTATGTCAGTTTCAGGTTGAGCTTTAGTCATAGTTCTGTAAACATACAGGGATCACAACTTCAATAATTTCAAACAATTTAAAACAATCTACTGGACTTTGCTTCCAAGTTTGAAGACATTTCGCTTCCCATAGTAATAATAATAATTAATTTTATTTGTAACACACTTTACATTTGACTTTAAATCTCAAAGTGCTACAAAGTGCTACATTTGAAAAAAAAGGGAAAACTAAAACAAGTTTAAAAGATCATAACATTAAAAACAGAGTAAAAAGACAATCATTAAATTCAATACATTCAAAGGCATACGTAGCCTATTAAAAAATGTAAAATCAACAATTATAGGCATTTCTAAAAAGGAAGCTTGTTTCAATTCAAAGGTCAGAATTAGCATTGAGTTAAGGCCTTGTTTTGGCTTAGAAAACATGCTAATTGAACTGAATAGAACTTAAAGTATTGATGTTTCTTTACACAAATCAAAACTAACAAATGTGTTTTTTGTAGTTTTTTCCCCCAAGTCAAAACACAAAATCACTGATAAGAAAAATCAGCTAACATTGTGTTGTCTCCTGCCACAAGACTTCATCCACATCACATGCTATGTCCTCTATATCTCCTGGAATGTCATATCCAGGCCTGAAATGGTATGGAGGGAGGTTGAGTGCAGTGAAGAGTTGGTGATCTGGTTGCGGACCAAAGCAGCCCTATGGAAACTAACATTTTCCCATATGATGACGTATCTGGTCTCCTCTTCCTCCTACATCTTCACCTACACCTCCTCTTCCTCGGTCTCCTCTAATTATCACTCTTCTTGCTCTCTCCACTGTACACCACACAGACAGTTCACCTGTGGCTTATTTATAGTGCTTAGGCTGATTGCAATGTGAACTAATTATCTAAAACTGGTTGAACATGTGACAGTGTGCCAGGCAGTTGGCGAAATAGTGTAAATAACACTCAAACTAATTTTTTAAACCTATGTCCTCCAGCAGTCTAAGCCTATAGCAGCATAACTATAGAGATAGCTCAGGATAACCTGAGCCACTCTAACTAGAAGTTTTATCAAAAAGGAAAGTTTTAAGTCTAGTCTTAAAAGTAGACAGGCTGTCTGCCTCACGGACTAAAACTGGTAGTTGGTTCCACAGGAGAGGAGCCTGATAACTAAAAGATCTGTCACCCATTCTATTTTTAGAAATTCTAGGAACCACTAGAAAACCTGCAGATTGAGAGCGAAGTGCTCTGTTAGGAACAATCAGATCTCTGATATAAGATGGAGCTTGGCCATTTAAGGCTCTATATGTGTGAGGAGGACGATTTAAATTCTATTCTGGATTTAGAAGCTAGATATGATCTCTGTTTTTAATTTTCTTCAGAACTTTGGCTGAGAGGAGCAGGAAAACAGTAAATAAGACACACCTCTGCTGTAACCTTGGTCCTAAAAATATAATATAATATAATAGTATTAATAGCGTTTGATTTCTAAATCTAAAACACAGAGAAAGACAAATTAAACAACAAAGGCCGACTGGGCTCACCCCCCCTGTAAGCAAGCCCTTTCTCCGCTGCTGCGCAGGGACGGGCCCAATCTTAACCCATCAGTTTTTCACACACCGTAACTGCTTTCACAACGTCTGCATCACCTTTATCAGCAAGTGATGATGCAGTTTCTTTGCATAGATCATTTTATAAATAGCATTTTATTAGTCTGTGTAGGATAGATTTTATATAGGCCTAATGTGCTGCAGTATTCAGGCATAATGACAATCTCTACAGTCACTAGTTTGTCATCTCTGTGCTGCTGTAGAGCAAAGATGTCTGCCTCCATGAATGAGCTACCTGCTCCTATGTCATTATAAAAAAAAATCTCTATGACGATTGATTCCTGCATAATAAATGAGGAAATAAATAGTTTTCTTGAACTTAAACATGTGTGTCCATATTGAGGAGCTTCCCATTAAAGCATAAAGGTTTTGGAGATGGAGCCAATTGCTAATTTAAGAAAATGGCGCCCATTTGACATCCCTGGTGCAAACGTTCCTTTAGTTTTTATAGAAACAATAATATTTCATCCCATCGTCCCAATTTTACTTTTTTTAGACGGCTTGAATTTGATGGGAATGCTGTAACCTTTAGTTAAAAGAGTACTTTGAGAACACAATGAAAGTACGCAAGTGCCTCTCTGGCACCTTCTGCTGTTTGTAGCTGCTTTTGATAGTGAAATACTTATGATAGTTTCAAATAAAAAACTATTCCTATTGCTGTTTGGCTGTGGCTCCATCCTGGAGAGAAATATCAGCTGTGCTGCTGCCATCAACACCTTTGTTTATAGATGTTGGAGATCCGCCTGTTTTTCAGTGTAGTCCTGTTTCTCTGACTGTTACTGGCTGGATGCGCTCTCTTCATCCTCTGACATGGGAGCTGGCTCGGAGCTCGTCTACCTGGCTGTGTTTCTCCTGGACGGGGCCGCCTTTTACAGCTGCTTTTAGTATCTCTGCTTCTGTCTCCTTGAACCCCAGTCGGCCTCAGCAGATGGCCGCTCACTGCGTCCTGTTCTGCTGGAGGTTTCTTCCTGGTTAAAAGGAGTTTTGTCTCTCTACTGTCGCTACAAGCATGCTTGGTGTGAGGGATTGCCTTCAAGTCAATGAGTCTATGCAATCAACTGGTTTTCTTTAAAACTTTAAATCACTTTGACTGGATGATCTGCTGAACTGTAAAGGGCCTTGAGAAGACGTGTTGTAAATTGGCGCTATAGAAATAAACTGAATTGAATCAAAACACGACGCAGCCCGCGGCTGTGGACATGAGTCATCACACAGCTTTATAGAGAAATAAACAGACGCTGATTCCCCCCCCATTCTTATATTGTTTAAGACAGTACTCAGTAAATCACAGTCCAGTATACAGGCCTGAGCTGTTTTATTTACACATAAATCCTTGGTTTTAATTACATAGAATCATTTATTTCATAATTTCACAATACTCGGCTATAGATCTCTTTTTGACAGAAGATACACACAAGAAACAACAACACACGCTCAGTTAATAACTTGACTTCACGTCATCTGTGGGGGTCGCCCACAGACTCCGCAATGCGTACCGGGTGTGGTTGCCATGGGTACAATGATGAAACTACCCATATGTAAACAAAAATCTCTGAACACCGACACAGTTGCAGCTATAAATACACACCAGCACGTGTGGAATGACAGTAAATGTATAACTCACCAGTATGATTCCCTCATTTACTTCACATCAGAAAAAAAAACTAAATCACTTGTGTTGGAAAAAAAAAACTTTAAACAGAACAAAATATATATATAAAAAAAGTCCATTCTCATCTCTTGGTTTTAAAAGTGGTAGCATTTTCTTTTTTTTTTGATGAATCTTTTTAACCACAGGGAATGATCATGCAGCACAGTCATTGCAGAAGCTGACCAGGAAAGAAGGAGCAGCGAGAGAGGAGGGGAAGGGTGGAACGAGGAAAAATATAACTTAATAAACACTCAGCATGAGGACAACAACAGGGCAACAGTTTAAACTTTAAAATCTAACAGGTTGCAGTCGATCTTGTAGTAGACGTAGGGATAGTACTCCTGCTGGCTCAGGTTCAGGCCTGGGATGTCCATTGCAGACTGGAACCAAGGAAAACAACAGGTTAAAACCAACATGGTGGAACAGGTCCAGGTTATTTTAGAGCATTAAACATACCTTACTTAGAATAATCATAGATAACAGCATAAAGATCAGATCAGTATTACAACATTGTTTAAAATAAATGTGGCAGAGCAACAAGCTACTTTTTAAAAGCCGTACTGGTTTACCAAAATGTCTGAAATCTATTTCAAACGCAGATGTGCATCTGTTCCAAATATATTTTTTATGTTTTTATTTTTTTAAAGGTGGACTTCCAATCTATACACACACACACCTATACATATACACAAACATATATATAAGCAAAATCAAATTAAATGTAAGTAAATGGGAAAGATGGAATTAGACCAATGGTGTTTTATGTTTTGTTAAACAAAAACAGTTACATTTATTTTCTACTACATTTTTTAGTTACGTTCATAGTAACATTAGATTGTGTTTTTTTCCCTCAAGTTTAAGATATTGTGGGATCATCATAATCATGTATGAAACGCACATGGTTTCTTGTTTATTTTTATTTTATGTCAGGGTTGGAATGTCTTTTTTAGTTATCTTTTTTTTTAAAGAGCGATAAATTCAGTTTCTTATTTCATTCACAGTTGTACTTGTTGGTTAGGGTTAGGGTTAAATATTTTGTTTTCCTTTTTTCTTTTTTTTTAAATAATTTTTTTGTTTTCCTCTATCTTGCAGTGACCTGCTGTGGCCACAGGGGGGAGCCCGTGTTTCACAGTCGCAGTGAAAACAGACTCAAACTGCAACAAGAATCATTAACTTTAGCATCCATTACCTGATTAGCATAAGAAAATAAATTTTACAAAAACCCTAACATCAGATTTCATATTTTAAAATAACATTTAAAAAATGTGGTTATTGTTGCAGTCAAAAAAAAACAGTATAAAAACAGTAAAATTGAGATGGAGACTTAAAAAAATTCAGCACTCATCATCTTAGATTTAAGTCAGAGTTTATGATTCCTCTTCTACATAACACCTTGAAACATTGATAGAAGGTAATTCATCCATTTTTTTAAAGATGTTTAACGGTTTGTCTTTAAATAGTTTGGTCAAAACATTAACTGCAAAAGCAAAGTAATCCATCTGTGTTTACAGAGGATGAAAACTGTGAAGGGTTTTTAAAGATCTAAAAACTTTGAGGGATACCAAAGCTTAGACCAAAATAACACACGACCAGCAATATTAGAGTCATACCTCAATGTCTACAGTATCTACAGGGGTAAATAAAATAAAAAAATGTTGTTTGGAGACCAATATTTGGTACTGATCAATGTTTTAGGTCCAGGTTTGTGTTATAGATTAAAAAGCCACAGATGAGAAAAAAAAACAGAAAGCAGAAAACCACAACTGGATGTTTTTTTTATAAAAGGTAGAATATGTTTGTCCATCCCAGCAGATCAGGAACTAAGATACTGATTGGATTATTCTCCTGTGAATTGGTACAAGGACAAAGCAGCATTCCAGAAATAAGCTTCCAGAAAAAAATGACTGTATTTATTTTTAGAAAAACCCAAAACAAAGAGTGTCATAATGACAGCCTTTTTTGAATTATTCAGAAAATAGAGTTGTACTATAAAGAGGAAAATAAAAAAAATTTGCAGGTTTTTATGTTTTACCATCATTTATTTTTTGTGTTTTTTGTATCTACTTGCAGCAGTACCATATCATACATCATATCCCAGCACTATGCACAGTTTTAATGTTTGCAATAATGTCTGCATATATCCAGTTATCTAGCCTCTAGACAAATATTGATCATCTTTTTTCCTTTTCTTTTTTGTCATGTGGAAATATAATCGTCTCGTTTAACTCCAGTATCTGTGAATCAGTATGTTGGAGCTTTTCTATCTACAATTTTGCTGGATCTTATAAAGTGATAATTATTATTAGTTTATTATAGTAACATTTGATTCCTCCAATGAATTGATGATGTCGCCTTAGAAATAATCCGTCAGTGTTGTAATGCTGCCACCATCAACTAGAGGGAGTTGCTGCTCATTCTTTATAGGAGAGTCCAGTCTGCGATTATTTACACCAGGCCTGTTCAAAATCGGTCCTCGATGGCCGCTGTTCTGCAGGTTTCAGAGGTTCCCCTTCCTTTGGCACATTCTTACATTCTTTAAAGGTGCATTAGGAGATCTTTTCTGACGCATTTTTTACCATGTGGCTTAAAGATCTCCAAACAGCCCCTTAGCAAGTAGTGAAATAGAAGGTCTGGAAGTGAAAATAAAATAAACGTTCCCCGCTACAGTGAGAAATCAATGAATAACCCCAACCGATCACAAAAGACGGTCCTTGGTCCACTATTGGTTCCTGACACGTCAATCATGGTCGTCTGCTTGGCCCTCCCCCCTGTGCGCGTACCCTGACACATGAACGAATCGACCCCCCAATGCTCGTGCAGGACGCCAAGGCTGGAAGCTAGCCACTGTTATGCTACGTTCACACCTTTGGTGACCAGATATGGGTTTCTGAAAAGGAGGACACTTTGCTCTGTCACTAGTTGGAATCCCACTCAACAGTAGCAATTGCTACAGGCAAAGAAAGGATAGGGTAGCTCCATCCAACGCGCATCAGACCCAATTTTTCACTGTGCAGCCAGAGCAACAAAGATGCTTCAACCTCGTATCAGAAACAAACTTCTACAAGCATCAAAAATGAAGCAGCATGTGCGTTTTAGCTGCTGCCTGCGGTCTGAACGTAGCATCAGAGTTCTGACTGCTTTTTCTTTTACTTTTACTTATCCTCATACACTGAGGACCATGATTAAATAGTTTGTTTTGGTTTTAAGTAGTCATCCTTCACAGATAATTTTTGTAACATCACAATTGGTTCTTTTCCAAGGTGGCAGGCGAGATCTCTACCAATGAACCACCAATAAGCCTCAAATAACACTGATCCTACATCTGCTATATATGCAGCAGATATCCTAGCAGCAGAGATGCTAAATCTCTAGAAAACTGTCCAAGTTGCCCTATTGAAATCCAAGTATTTTTAGTCTTGCTTTAATAAAAAGCTCATCTTATTGAAGCACTCACGTCAATGATAGCTGCTGCACTGCTGTCTAGGTGTTTGTACAGGTCATTGAGCACCTCCCGCAGCTTCTTCATGGTCTTCTTGTTAGGCTGCAGAAGCATGGCCTGAAAGTTCACCGGCAGACCATATCTGCAAAGGGAGCGACACGGCAAACGGCTTCAGCACCGCGGCGTCTATGGAGAGCGCACGGAAAACCAGGCGGTCAACTCCATACCTCAGAACGGATTCCACAAAGACCCTCAGTGCTTTGATGTGAATCCAGGCGATGAAGGCTTCGCTGAAGTTCACCTTTAACCATCGGACCAGGGGACCCTGCAGAGACAGGTGGAGTTTCTGTTACAGACGTTCTTTACTCTCAGCTTTATTTGTGACAGCCGACTTAAAACTCAATCCAAGTTATTTTTTTCGTCATTCTAAGAAAACTTTTAAATGCACCTGAAGGCTGGTTTATAATCATCCATCCGCAGACACTCTTCTGCACCTTTCTAAAATTATAGGTGACTACAGACAGTGCTGCAGACTGGAGGCTCTGATTGGTCAAATCTACATCCTCTCTACACTGTGCATATTTCCTGTTTGGTACCTTACCGGCTTGTTTTGTTTGTATGACCGCCATTGTGGAAAACGACTCGTAAAGCTAGAAGAGCGAGGTGCGCGAGAACGCTGGGACCCTTTTTCCACCTGGATCTCCGCTCTTTTTCACTCTCATGTCCCTCCATTGTCGCACAACTTGCCCCCACTGCCTCACCGCCTCGGTCGCATCTAGACCCACAGCTAGTTCCTGATTGTCCCTCTTGAGTTGTGGCGTGGAATAACATAGCGCAGACCACGCTTCAGTATTGGGCATAAATCAAAAATATTTGCAACAAGCCCTCTGCGACACACTGCAGCAGGAGGATAACCAGCCCTTAAGGGCTCCAGCTTATCTCTCTGCACCTGAGCCTAATGTTAACTTATATAGAGTCTCCCTGATAATAGCTAAAAGGCTTCAGGTTAGAAGAGGTTGTTTTCTGTTAGAAGCAAACATTTCTGGTTTCCAGACTGAACATTATGGCAGCAATACAGCAGTCAGAGGTAGACACATTGACATTGGACCTGAATCAGAAGCACTAGCCTGAAAAAATTAAAAACAGAACCTGGAATGGTTGCAAAGAGTAGTTTTTGGATTATAACATGATCAATCATGAGGAATGGATTGTGCTATGAACACAGCCAGGTTAATTTCCCTCTGATTTAAAGAACAAAACAATCTAAGAGGAATCAATTGATCAACAGGAGCAGCATTGACTTCACTTACAAACTGCTTCTTCTTATCTGTGGAGAGCCTCGTCATTTCCTCCTTGTCAGCCTTCATCTCCTCTTCATTGTACTGAAAGTCTCTCACTGTAAATCTAGCAGGAAATAATAGAATAGAGTTCAACTTTATTGTCATTAAACTTATCATTAAATACTTGTCATTGTCATTAAATTAAATATTGCAAAACGGTTTATTTCTGGGAGGGCACAATACTCACTGGGGCCATCTAGTGGTGAATAATAATAATTTAAAAAAAAATCTGTCAAATCTATAAATCTTGAATTAAATAAAGAATTTATAGAAATTGCTTAAACACATTGGGCCACATGCAAGAACCGTTTGTACAAACAAATTCGTTTCCTAAATCTTTCATACGAGTGATTTAAGGTAAAATGTCGCATTCGCCATATTTTTATTTCTAATCTTCTCTCAGGTATGAACAAATTTTCTGAGTGCTCCAGACTTGACATAGAAGTGCTTCACAATCACTCAGCTGTTATCCAAACCTAGTTTTTCACTAAATTACTACATTTTTTGATACTTCGAAGCAATTGTCCATTTTAATAGGCATCATCATAAATGATGCAACTCTGCAATTATAAATGACGTCTATATTCTCTGATGACAGAACCGTCGGTCACTATGCAGCACTCACCGATGCAGCTGCTGTTTTAATAATTTTAACTATATTGACTAGGAAGTAGAACAGCTGTCCTTAATGTTTCAGTCCAGGGTTCCTACAGCATAATGCAAGTTAAATTCAAGACTTTTTAAGACTTTTTAATGCCACTTTAAATAAAAATTTAAGACCAAATTCACAAGAAACACAAGAAAAACCTGCTTGCGACAACTTAACCCAAAGGTTTATTTTAACATAAACCACTGCACTAATGTTTCAAATTTTGAAAAGCTTCCAATACAGGAAGAAAGCTAAAAACACAAAAATGACAGATATATTTGAACAATTATTTAACTGAATTCACAAACTTTGTTTTAGCAGGGAGCAAAACAAACCAGTTTTAAAGCCACAACTGGAGCCAATTTTCGTCACATTTACACTTGCTCATATTTTCAAGACAAAAAGTAAATGACGCATCTCCCAAATGTCCCGGCCGCAACAACGCTTTTATTGGTTCCGCTATCAGGACGGAACCAATAATGGTGAGCCGTTATTTTTTTTAAATAAAAAAAAAGGGTCAATTTTAATGTTTTATTTAGATTACAAAAATAAATCGTAATAAAATAATCCTATTTATGATGTTTTAAAAATTAAGACCTAAGAAAGACTGATTTAAGACATTTTAATACCAATTAAGGCCTTAGTTTTATTTTGAAGAATTCAATGCCTTTTATACGGAAGAGGATTAGGGCCACTGAAAAAAAAAAAAAGGTTAACGGATTTTTAAATTTTATTTCAGTATAGTATGGGGAAAAAGTCAGAATTCTGACTTTTTTTCTCAGAATTCTTACTGAATTCTGACAATAAAAAAAGTCAGAATTCTGAGAAAAAAGTCAGAATTCTGACTTTTTCCCCATACTATACTGAAATAATATAAAAAAAAAACAGTTAATTTTTTTTTTTTTTTTTTTCCCCCCCATCGCCCCTAATCCTCTTCCGTACTTTTAAGACTTTTTAAGGACCCACGGGAACCCTGTCAGTCTGTGAAAATTTCAATCATGTACTAAAATAATATAGATAAGGCAGATTGGCTACCATCTAAAGTTACATATAATTTTGAGACTTTATTTTTAACTATAAATAAAAGGTCATATGTATTTTTTCATGTTTTTATGACATGTGAGAATCATATTAGATGTGATTTTTGAGTAGGGCTAACAATAAATTGAATAAATCGTGATTAATCAATTATTGAGACAATAGTCAACTAATGTAGTAATCTAATCAGGCCAGCTGACAGCTATGCCAGGGCATGGGACAGCACGGAAAAATTACTTCTGTCTGTATTTTTAATGTCAGAGTTTCAATTTTGGGCCCCCCTCTGCCATGACCAATAAAATATGATGCAGTCAGGAAAGGAAAAAAGGCACCAAGATAGGATAATAGGTCTTACTTGTTCTCTCTGGCTTTGTGTTTGAAGTCATCGATGGCTTTCCTGAACAAGGTGACGCTGAACAACCCGCTGTCGCTGTCCTCAAACAGCAGACTGCAGGAAAACACGGACCCAATGAATCACAGGGAATCATGTGAAATTGCTCAGCACCATTTCATCTGATTTTTATTGCTTACTTTGAGGATCGAGGCACCACCATCTCAGCCAGGGTTTCATATGTTTTCTGCCAATCAGCATAGGCAGCCCTGAGGAAGCAAAACAACGCGTTACTTCCTCCTTCAAACCTTCGAACCAATCAGGACGGTTCGTTAAGGCAGACTAGAAATGGTAGACTCACTTGGGTACAACCACCAGCATAGTAATGAGATACTCTGAATCCAAGACAAAATCTTCCTTTTTGACAATATCAGCCAAGCTCCTCGTCAGCAAACTCCCCCTAGTGGTAGAAAATTATGTTAGAACAACACAAAGAAAAAGAAAACTAAAATAAAGCTAAGTTCTTTTTAGATCTTCTATCATATATAACTCACACATTCCAAAAAATTAAAAACAATCCACTGGTCGTTTTGCTTCCCATCCAGGAAGCTTTTTCAATTTAAAATGTCAGGAATAGCGTTGAGTTTGAGGTTTTGTAAAGTAGCCCAACAAAGCCGTGTTTTTGTTTTGAAAACATGCAAATTGGAACGGACCAAAAACAAGAACAAACCTTTGTTGGGCTACTTTATAAAACCTCAAACTTAACGCTATTCCTGACAATTTAAATTGAAAAAGGTTCCTGGATGGGAAGCGAAACGTCTTCAACCTTGGAAACAAATTGAATTGTTTTGAATTTTTTGGAATGACTATGACCTGGATGACTGAGAACCTTCACCAGCAACTCACACATTCTTCCTTTCCAGGTTCTGCAGGTTTCCCTTCAGGTTATTATAAGCTGATGCTCTGGCCTTTAAATCGTTGTCAATTTGGGTTACTTGCTGAAAGGAAAAACCAAAAAACAAGCAGAAATGTTTAACGAATCTAAAAGCACTTAATTTTAACTTGAATAAATGGAGTAAAGAGGCAGAGCGTGGATGCAGAAACAGGAAAAAGGCACACAAGACTGAAATAAATCTGCAAGATAATGATTGAAAATATATGGTGATTGAATCTACCCAGAAGACCTACCTTTGAGATGATTTCAGAGATGTTTTTAAGGGATTGTTTTATGGGATATTTGGCCATGTCCCACTGGAACCGAGTGATGTAGGTGACAAGGTCAACTAAAACACAAGTAACAGAGGATCTGGGAAGCCATTCTTCAGGTTATCAGATAGAATAAGACACTGCATGGGAAAATCAGTCACATTATGTATCAAACACAAATCGAAATGGATTTCATCAGATTTATTTTTTCTGTGAGAGACAAACACTAAGTAGCACACATTTATGAACAAAGCAGTTGAAAATGTTTTGCATTTTACAAATTGAATTCTTAGAGTGTGGTTTGCACTAGATTAAGTCCAGCTGTGTGTTAATCTCAGTGTCCATCCAGGTCTTCTATGGCGGCCTTAATGTTTGAGACCATAGGTTAGCTTAGCGAAGCCAATAAAAGAACACAGTTTGTAAATGGAAATTTGGGGACAAAATGCAATATAGAAATACGACTGAACGTTTTTCCCCCGATCACACTTTGTTTTATCAAATTATTATTTTTTTTCCCACATCTCAGTCTGTCATACTTAATTTTTTTCCTCTTTTATTTTTTTTTTAGATAGATTTTTTACAAATTACAGTCTTTTCAAATTGTATTTCACTGATCAATTTCTCTCCACATAAAGCCCAATAGAAACAAAGAGAAATGCTGGTGACGATTCTGAGTCATCCAGGTCATAGTCGTTCTAAAAAAGATAAAAAAAACAATCCACTGGACTTTGTTTCCGAGTTTGAAGACGTTTTGTTTCCCACCCAGGAAGCTTTTTCAATTCAAAGTGTCCTTCCTGGATGGGAAGCGAAACATCTTCAAACTGGGAAACAAAGTCCAGTGGATTGTTTTTTAAACTGTTTTAAAAAACAAAGAGAGATAAAAAAAATAGAAGAGGAACAAATTCAGAGAAAAAATAAAACTGCAAAGTAACTTTGAAACTTTTGGGATTAAGAGGTTAGAAAAGTTTCACACTTTTTCCTCATTTCCATTTACAAAATGTGTTTTTTTTTCCTGCAGCAATTATGGAACTAAGTTCACTCCATAGGCTTATAGCTTCTTTAATGTACTGTAACCTTTTCTCTAGTTGCAAAACTTTAAACTATTGCCTTGTTGAATTAATTGGAAAAACATATCAAGTCTAAAGCACAGAAAACACACATTTTCTAAGTTTGCAGGTTAAGTTTTAGTGTTGTTAAATCACAGATTAAACTATTCCTGCTTGTATCCACTCAAACAGACCAAGCAGTTGACGTGATCACCGTACCTCCATTGGCCAGCAGGTTCTCCTGCACCTTGTCCCGGCTGTCCTCCAGCACATCAGCCATGTACTGAGCCACCTTCTTCACCACACTGCGAAAACCCAGAAAACACCAAATTATGATGTGCTCTCATAAGCCACAACCATACAGCTGGTCGAAGCTCCTGAAACACCAAAAGATTTCACACATAGATGCTTCGATGGGCTTTTGACAAAGGCTAGCCTTAAGATGGCCGACTTTCAGGGTTCAGCAGCTTGAGAAAGACGGTTCAGCTGCACATCAAAGCATTTCACCACCAAGTCACATCATCGGGATGAAAGCTACATGAAAATCCACATCAGCCGCATCATCGCTTTATCTTATGATAACAATGTCTGTGATTGATTTAAAAAAAAGGTGAGGCATCTAGAGCAGCACACCCAAACAGATCCACATATTTACTGAGATTACTTTTCAGATTCTTCTAAACATAAACTTCAAAACAGAACAAGATCAGTGACCGACAGACGGCTGTAAGGTTGGTTTTTCTCACAGATGTGGAAATCCCCACAGTGGAAGCCAAGAACAGCTCAGGCAGTAACAGGACTGTGTGAGATTTGGATGAAAAATATTTCCAAAGGACTAAACTTATGCCACATGGTAAGAAAAAGGTGACTAAATAAAGATCTGCTGATGCGTCACCCAACTGTAAACAGCTAAGTTTAGACAGACTGCAGGAGCTCGCTGGTCCCGGCAAAATTCCTCAACGTTACAAGGAGACCAGAGAAAGCTAAACCTGGCTACATCTGAGGGTCAGTGGTGGAGGTCACATCTTTTTAAACAGACGAGCCTCAATCAGGCTATCGCTAGCTAATACTGATCACAGTTTTCTGAACAAATTGACATTCTAACTCCAATGTTTTTTTCCAAATGATAGGCAAGAAGCCAAGGCGTTCTCTGAAGAAAAATGGCTGATTTTATGAATAAAACATAAAAAAATGAAATAGTTGCTATTCTTATTTATCATCACCAAGATAATTAATCAAATCATATTAACCTAAAGGAAGGAAATTCCATCAAACTACATGCCGGTGGTGTGTTCAAAGGCAGAATATGGTGGGAGCTCTTCGGTATATGCAGCAGCCCGAGCTCAGTTCGTGGCAGTGGCAGCGTTGTGACACTTCTGGCGGCTCGTCCGGCTGACGCAGCTTTAGTACTGGTTGGCATGGCGCATTTCTGGCAGCAGCCGCTAGTAAGAGGCTTCTGCAGTCCCTCAGAAGGTGTCAGTAAACCTGGGAGCCGATCGGGGAGCCTACTGGCAGGACAGCCGGATTGCCATGCTAGTGGCGGGGAACACTGGCCTCTTATTGGCAGATGAACTACTTCCATCCATAAAGTAAATGTGACTTTATGAAAGTTTTAATGCAGTTTCTTAAGCAATATAATCACAATATTAAAACTAAAATCTGCTTAGAGGTACTATAAATAAGTTAATCGCAGAAAAACGGCTTCTGCTGCAGCCGAAACGGCGTCAGTAAACGTGGAGCTGATCTGGCAGACTGTCAGCCTAGTGGCTGCTGCCAGTAATACACCATGCCTGCCGCTACTGAAGCCGTGTCAGCCTGACGAGCCACCAGAAGTGTCACACCGCTGCCACTGCCACGAATTGAGCTTGCTGTCCCTCGGTATAAGAGAGGGAATGTTTTTGTTTCTGTGTGTTTTTCTGTGTGGTCAGGGTGTCTGTAAATTACAAATCAGAGTCAATCAAGGGAAAGTTTCCACTTCGGCTTCCCGCAAAATTGATTTGTACTTAATATTAGCAACAACCAAAATTTTAAAAAAGAAACAGCAAAAAATAAATGATATTTAAAATTATACAGCAGTGTGTTTACCTTTCAACGAACCCGTCTAATTTGGCCAGTTCATCTGAGAGTCCCACCAGGACATCAAGTGTTCCGACCTGTTTTAAACAAAAAATAAAAGCTAATCATTGGAACCTGAGAGGAATAACATAAGTATTTCTTTGCATTCCATGTAAGGTTAACCAGGCTGAACGCTCAACAAGCCTGCAGTGACACCCAGGGGGCCCTGTGTTCTTAGGAAGGTGCCTCTCTGTCCAGGATTGTTCATGCATTGCTAACGGTTCCATGAGGACATTGCAGCGTGACGTAGAAGAGACGTCCGCAGGTATTTACTCTGTGATCAGTACAGAGACGAACTGAACCAAAGACCTGAGCTGCTCTGTGGATTAAACTTTGCCCAAAAAACACTTTAATATGCAGGAAACCAGCCTGTGTACAGACCGCCACACATGGTGAGTTATCTAAAAACTTAATAACATTCTATATCAGAGGTCATGGATTAGCGGACCGTGGTCCGGATCCAGACCCACCTGATTTAAAACATTTATAAATTACTACATTTGTCTAACTTCATTTGGCCCGCTTCTCCTGTTAATACGGTAAAGCCCTCAGGAGCGTCCGGCACAAGGCTACATGTGATCCAAATTAGCCAATGAGCTGCTCTCAGTCTGTGTTGCTGCTGCTGCTACTTTTAGACACAGCAGGCAAACCTGTGGCAAGCCGGGCGATAGGAAATAGAGACTGACATTTTTTCGGGAATCCCACGGGTCACGGGATTCCCGTGGGATTCCCGTGGGATGGGAGTCAGTATTAGTAACGATCACAGGATTGGGACGGTACAGGATTAAACATTAACGGGAGCAGACGGGAGCGGGAGCAAACCAATAGTAACTTCCGCTCTGAGTTTTTCACCCATGCTCAAAAACAACAAGAATGGGAGTGGAGCAGGAGCGGGAGTCATTCTGTATGGGAGCGGGATGGGAGTGGGAGTAATTTCACCAGGAGTGGGACGGGACAGGATTTAGATTTCTACTCTGGCCCGGGATCGGGACGGGACACCATTTTTTTCTGTGGGAGTGGGACGGGACAGGAGTGAAAATCCACTCCCGTGTCAGTCTCTAATAGGAAAGAAGGAGAAGATGATGACAAAAAGAGAGCAGAGAAAGTGTGGACTGCTGGAAGAACTGTGGTGAAAGAAAAGGGAAATGGCGCTTAAAGATGACCCTGCACATTTAGAAGATGTTTGGCTCAACCTGCTGCTATGAAGCAGGATTCTCCACCATGAACAGAATCAAAAATAAATATGGATCCAGGCTCAAAATGAGCACAATGATATGTGCTTTAGAATGGCTTAGTCTCCATTCAAACCAGGTTTAAAGCCTTGCAGGGCAGCATAAAGCCCACTGCCAACATTAAGCCATAAAAAAATAAAAATAAGAGCAAGTTCAGGGTTTTTATAAAATATGTGAATCAGGAAATTGTCTATATACCAAACCGAACAATTGTTGTTCTCTACTTCGAAAACAATTTAGATTTTAAAATGGGAAAATGTTCTATTGTTTTTAAATATGTTTTTATCTAGAAATTCATTGTATAATATGGATGCATAAACATCTAATTTTATTTCAGTGTTAAATTCTGTTTAAAGTAACAGATTATAATTTAAAATGTCTCTGGACCTTTACTGGTTGATGATTTTTATTCAGAGCAGGTTACCCCTGCTCTATATTGTGATAATAACTGTATAGGGGAGTGAGGACAGACAGCAGAAGAGTGATTATAATCCACTCTAACCTTGAGGTCTGGGATGCTGAACTTGTGATTGCTGGAGAGGTTGTTAGTGCGTGTGGTTGCTGCCATCAGTTTGTCCCATGTCTGTTGGCAGGTCTTCTCCCCAGGAGCAGAGATCAGCCAAAACTCAGTCATGTTTACAGCTCCGAGGAAGCTACAGAAAACTGCAAGGAGAGCATTCATTTTCTTTTGTTCACATAACAATCCAGAAATATCTACAAAAGAGAAATACTGCCCAAATGAGTTGCCTTAACGTGTAATTAATCTGGTGCAATATGCTGACTTTGTATTTTAGCTAGATTATGGTAATGAATGAATTATCGTACTACTGTTATATTATTGGGCTGGGTAATTATGAATACATTCAATCCTCGCGATAATGTAATACTTCCCTTATGCAAAGTCACCCGGAACCAATAAACAAACCGCTGTACTGAATTTATGGATTTAAATAGCGACAGAAAGCGATGGTTAAGGTCAACAGCATCACAGGGATTAGCTGCCGCTAGCAAGTTAGCTAGCTTTGCTACCAAAAAAACAAGATAGGTTGTTTTTCCATCTCGTTAATAATTTCACTCACCAGTATACTAAATTGGTGTCTGATACTGGCGGATATATGAGTGCCTGTAGTGTTTCTATGGCTTGACAATGTTCATAGTTGCAATTCAGCGCAGTTCGTCGGATCTCCTGTCAGCAGCATCAGAGTCAGCTGATCCGGAGAGGAACCGGAAGTGGCAGACGTAGTGAGCGTACCGCAGCGACACCTACCGGCAGAAGAGGGGTAGCACAGCATTGGATACCCTTGGCAGCAGTAACACTCTCAAGGGGAATCCTCAAACTTTTTAAACATTTAAAAAGTTTAAATTTTTCATATATCAAAAACTACTTGACAAAAGAAACACTGTAGTTAATTATTCGCATCAATATAAAAAAAATTAAAGATTATACATACAGAATTCATGCTTTTTTCAGAACTAAATTTTCAATTATTTGGGGTAAAGATAAAATTATGTGCCTCTGCAAGTCATCTAGGAGTCTTCAGTGAAATCATAGATAAATAACTACTTTAATAATAACTTAAAAATTCATGAAATATGGATATTAGTAAAATTTAAATATAATTTTTTTGCAGAATGATCATTGATAAAAGAAGGTAATGACAGATGTTCGCCCTAGAACTCAAACCTGAGAGAATTTTGTCCAATATACCTTTTATTTACATAGCATAGATGTTTAAATATATGCTTCTATTTGTTAGCAAAGGCTGCAGGAAAGGATTGTTTGTCTTTATTTAGAAAATATGGATGTTGTTCTCGTTCCTGTTGGAACAGTGCAGAATGAGCCTGAGGTTCTGGTGCCTTTCATCCACCCCGTATACGTTGGTTATTGACTGGCCACCCCATTAGGATTTTCTGGCTACGCCTCTGATCTCAAGCCAATAGTGTTATTGGAATTCAGGACAAGACCTTATTACCTTTCTAACATTCAAAAAATATGGATATTTTGATGCCAAAAATGTATGTCAATGTAATAAAAAAGAAATGCCAACTTGCCGTAATTATTAAGAAATATAATAAAAGTGCTTCTATAAGAAATTCATGAGAAACTCAAATGTTTTTGGTACAATATAACCTTAGAGGCATTAATGCTGATACTGGCACTTACATTTTTGGTTCATAAACCTAAATATAATTGTTAACTAGGCTTATTACATTTTTTACTTTTAAATTAGCTTTTTAGCTTTTTTTAAAAACTTTTTTTCCAACTTAATTTCTAATAGGTAATATATCATTCAAGGGTTCATCTAATTGGTCAAATGCCAAAATAGGATGTACAGCCATGTAGCAGAATCTTTGCTGAATGTCTGGATATAGATCTTGTGCTTCTAGACCTCACTGAGGGACGGTGGGGATTCCCTTTGTAAGGGGTATGCTGGTGGTAATAAACGGTAACTTGCCCTATAAATGGTTAAAGGAGAGGTTACTACATTTTTAGGATAACTTCACTGTTCATTACATTTCCTCAAATAAGACTGAAACACATTTTATTCATAGGTGCCTTTTTCTACACACTCAAACATTGGTTAAAAGAAACACAACAGTTTTGTTGTTTTCTTTTGGTGTTAAAAATTAAAAAATAAGTTTCCTTGTGAATTGTGTCTGTAAGACTATATATCAATAAGTCTGTTTTATAAAATACAAATTTCAGTATAACTGTAAATGCTTGCTATACACCATAAACATCTTGTAAAAGCTTCTGTCAATAAAACAAATCCTAAAAAAAAAGCAACACAACACAATTATAAAAAAAAAAAAAGATCATAAAAAGATTAAAATTACACACTTCATCTGTGGGAGTGAAGTAGTGCTTCTGAGTTCTGGAAGTAAGATGGAGATTTATCTTTGACATTCGGCAATAGTTTATACTTTAAAACACATCATTTAAAGGGAAATCTAAAAGAACATTGTTATTTTATAAAGAAATGAATGCACTTAAAGCTGTTCTATAAAAGACAACATTAATAAATAACTGAATAGATAAATTAAACAAGATCCACAATTATATGAGCAGTGGTTCACTAAAGTAATTCTTATTCAAGAAAGTCACAGCAGAGGAAACAGAGGAGTTTTTTTTACCTCTCAGTCTCCTGCCAGAGTGAAGCAGCTGAAAGTTGGATTGTAAAGAATGAGCAGGATTCCTTTTCGATTAGAACTACTTTTTTCCTCAAAACCCTTTTATCTCAATCGAAGGGATGAATTTGCTAAAGACCGGTAATTTTACAGCCCTGATCAACTACCCAATTAGACAATTTTTGACCAAGATTTCCATACACGGTACACCCTTATAAAGACACTCTTAATAAGCAGAATTTGGTACTAATTAGTTACATTTACTCAGTTACAGGACTTATAACATTAGTTATATATATATATATATATATATATATATATATATATATATATATATATATATATATATATATATATATATATATATATATATATATATATATATATATATATATATATATATATATATATTGCTTTAGAAGTAGTCTTAGCATATCATACTTTTACTGGAGTAATATCTCAATTAAATGTTATTCCAAAAAGTAAAACAAAAAAACAATCCATTGGACTCTGTTTCAAAGTTTAAAGATATTTTTCTTCCCATCCAGGAAGCTTTTTCAATTCAAAATGTCAGAAATAGAGTTGAGTTTGAAAAATAAGCCTTGTTTTGGTTTAGAAAGCATGCAAAGTGAACCGGACAAGCGGGTCCACCCATTTGAAATGGGGGTCATTTGGGTTCTTTGTTAGCCTGTAATACCCGATACCGGTATTATCTATGAAATGGGGGTTGTTAGAGGGAATCGTTGGCGTGGTTGAAGAGGCAAATTGCTCTGTTCCCCTGTAAAGGGGTTAGGGCTGCAATGATAGCAGGAAGGAATTAATTCAATCGCTAAATTGTAGGTTTTTGAAAGCTGAAATCTGAGTCCATCACCTCTGTTTAAGTTTGGTTTTCCTTTCTTAACATAGATGGCTTCATGTTCCTCTCAACCTACCTATTTTCCTTCTCCAAAATGTAAACATTCTGGTCCTAAAAAGAATGTCGTTTGTCCATAAGGTGTAGATGTACCGCCAAGTCTTGTCCAGAGGAGGTCTTTCTTCTGTGTTGGGCCATGCGTCTGTGGAGAGGTTGTTTGGTTTCTCCAATAAAGATCAGAGCATTCCTCACTACATTGAACTGCAGACACAACTCCTCTAATCTTAGGTCTGAGGGTTTTGTCTTTAGGATGCACTAGTCTCTGTCTAAGGCTCTTGTTTGGTTTAAATATTCTGTGATTTTGTGTTTGGAGAAAATCCTCTTGAGTCTTCAGAGACTCCAGCAACATATGGGATGGCGATGTTTTTGCGTTTAATCTTCTCGCCGTTATGTTCTGCTGCTTTGGATTTTCTTGCTGATTTGACAAACGCTCAGTTTGGGTATCCACAGGTTTGAAGAGCATCTTTGATGGGTTTCTGTTATTTGTAATTCCTCTGTTTTAGTAGGGAGATGCTCAGCGCAGTGTTGTAAGGTTCTGATAACAGAAAAGTTTGTGTTTCATTGGGTGGTGTGAGACAAAAAGAAGATAAAAAGAAGATAATAAAATGTTTTTTACTCTTATTCAAGTAAACTGTCTGGCTACTCCATCCACTGTAATTAATTATGAATAATGGACAAGCTCAAAAAAAAAGTGCTCCAGATATTTTGTTTTGGGGTTTTTTTGTATACAAGCCTACTGGAACCTTCTATGAGGTCAAACTAACATACAGCAAGAAGTAAATAGTCATTGAGGACACTGGTTAAAAGGTTTTATGTTAAAAAGAAAACTGGCTTGCAAAAATTTAATCTGCTTTCTATTTTATACTGACCTTTTTTGTCCTTTTTGTCTAAAAATATATGTTATCCTGCATTAGTTTGAACATCACCTCTGTGGCCTTGCTTCAATTTAGTGTATTTAATATAATTCACTGGATAATACTTCCTGTTTGTTGATTAATGATCTAATGCTAAGTGTAATAGTTTGGCCTCTCATTAGGGCATCTTAAAATATGAATAAGTAATTATCCAGTGGCCCCTGACTCCTTGGGTCCATAAAATTTCTTTCTTTTTATAACCTGTGACAACAAAAGTTCACTCAAAAATTATGTTTAAAAAAGGTAAAACCCTGATTATTGTAAGTTATAGTACTTTGAGGAACTTAGGGGTATTTTTGGATTACACAATTGTCTTAAATTATAAGACCCCCTCACCTAGGCTCAAGCCTTCCTCTATGCATTAGCACTTTATTACAGAAAAAGACATTTGATGGTTGGTGCCAAGTCAGTAGCACTTGAGTTTTAGAGTTGCTAAATTTAGAAAAGTCAGGGCAGGTTTCCTGATTATGGGTGTCTCCTGCAAATAAGCGAGGAAAACGCCCCCAAAGGGACATGTTTATAATTCAGTGGGTCTGGGGTTTATTGTTTGGGACACAATGCTTGGTCTGTCTGGAGCCAACCCTTGACATCAAACGACAGGCTTGAGTATGCCCGTGGCTGGCAACAAGCCAGTCTGCAGGGACGTTATCAGGACACACATACCAGTGCTGGAAAGTGTGCCGCTGAGGATTTGCTGTGTGTTCTCCTCAGGTTTAATCAGGGAGAAACTGTTTCCATAGTTTCCAGCACAATGCGTATAAGAGAATGTGGAAAGATGTTCGTGCAATTATTATGAAGTTGGAGGGACAGACCCCCAATCTAACAGATAAAAACTGGGACCCTATCTTAATAAGACTGGAGCTTAAAGCCGAGTGTGATTTCTAAAGAATTGTTCAAATAAATTGCAAAGGTTAAAAGGGTTAAATAAACCGGTTAAAGGGACAATCAGTTAGCACATATCTTAATAAGTAAAATTTTCGTATAATAGTTGCATTTTCCCTTTATGTGAACAGTTAAATAAGAAGATCTTCCAAAAGAAGGTGTGCTTTTGCCCTTATAATGAAATTATTTGGTATGATGCAAAAACAATAATAGAGTAACATAAATTATTTAATTCCATTAGCAAATTGTCTCACCTACCTGGTCAAATCAAGGACATTTAATTCTTTTTTTTTTTATTTACTTATTTCGATTAAAATTTTATGCCGGTCAGTGTTGCAGTGGGTAGCACTGTTGCCTTGCAGGAAGAAGGTTCTTTGTTCAAATCTTGGCCCAGAGTCTCTCTGCATAGAGTTTGCATGTTTCCCTGTGCACGCGTGGGTTCTCTCTGGGTACTCTGGCTTCCTAACACACACAAAAAAAGACTGTTAGGTTAATTGGCTTCTCTATATTCTCCTTAGTTGTGAGTGTGTGTGAATGGTTGTTGGTCTCTGTGTTGCCCTGTGATAGACTGGTGACCTGTCCAGGGTGTGCCCTGCCTTTCACCTGTGGACAAATGATATGCTTATTAAATTCTGCTGTGTATATTTTAATACAGGGCCATGTCAGGGGCCAGGATCTGTTCTACAGGGGCAGTGGCCCCTGCTGGCACATGTCTAGAACCGCCCATGTACTGGGACCTCTTCAGTATTAATATTAATAACAGCATCATGGATGAGTAAAGGTTTTTTAATACTTCAACCACAGAAAGTCTGGTGCTGTATGATTTACTGATGATATTGTTGTTTTAGATACAGGAGTACGTAGGTTTTGTTGTTTTACTTGGATAATTTGCAGCTTTTGCAGATTAAATGGTGCTTGTTGCTCTTATGATGTCAAATGACTGTATAACATTGCCTCATCTCCATTATATTAATAAACTCAGTTTGATTTGAAACCAGACGTTTTTCTTAATGAAAGCAAAGCTAAAGGTTAACTCAAAGGCTGACAGTGTTTCACATCTGTTCTCATTGTTGAAATGGTGTAAGGAAATCAGAAGTCTTTGAACATGTCCTTTATAATCCTGTAGGGTTTTTAGCCTTTGTTGGTTATGTATTTAGAAAACATGCAACCTGTGCATTAGATTATTGAATACATGAAAACTTAGCAAAAATTATTTTAGACACGGTTTATAAAAATTGAGGACACAAACAGGTTGAACAGAATCCTAAGACAGAAAAGAATTCTGGGAGATTAGTAGGAATGGCTTAGAGATCAGAGCAGAGTGCTTGGATTCTGAATGCAGGAGACAATTTTTGTTATGATATACATTTGCAATGACCTATAAAGTTGATAATCCTCATGCCAAAGTACAAATCAAGTGTGGCTAAAAGCAGGCAACCCCTGTATTTTGGGGAATTTACCAGCAATCTTTCTAACTAAACCCAAACGCTGCACATTCGTTGGACGTTGTTTGTTTCTGCTTTGCATCATTTATTGGGAATGTTTTTATGTTTAACCACCATGTGCAGCCACGGGCAAATTGGGAGACATGAGGACAATACTATTATTATAAAAGGTGTTATTTAAAGCTTGTTTCACTTCCTCTATGATGCTACCACTTAGAACCTCTATCGGACTTCTCCGAGTCAGAATATTAATTTCCTGGAGCTAAACGTTGTGCTTTCTCAGCGAAAGCAGAGTGCAGCTCAGGCAACAGTTATCCTCCACAGACCCCCATCTAAATTGGTAAATTATAACACGAATGGAGACAGACAGACAGACCTCAGTTATCCGGGTGGAGCTCGGAGTAGAGTCGTTGCTCGTCCATGTCAAAAGGAGGCAACTGAGGTGGCTCAGGCATCTGTTTCGGATGCCTCCTGGTTGCCTCTGTCTGGAGGGGTTCCAGGCCTGTCCCATTGGGAGGAGGCCTCGTGGAAGGCCCAGGACATGCTGGAGGGACTATGTGTCTGAGCTGGCCTGGTGTCACCTTGGGGTCCCCCCAAAGCAGCTGGAGGAAGTGTATGTGGATCGGGAAGACTGGGCGTCTTTGCTTAGACTGCTGCCTCCACAAACCGGCCCCGGATAGGCTGAGGAAAATAAATGAATGAATGAATGAATGAATGAATGAATGAATGAATGAATGAATGAATGAATGAATGAATGAATGAATGAATGAATGAATTGATAGACAGACAAAATCAAATCCTTAGCACATACCATGTTACACACTGACTTTGACCAGTTTTACTGTCTCTGCTAAAGTATGGTCTCCCCACATAATACTGCTGCCACCACCATGTTTAATAAGGGTGTGACGTGTGTACCACTTTGCTCAAACTCACCAAGATGAAAGTTGCTACAGACTATAAATTTGTCTCTTGGCCTGCCTCAGCCATTCTTAATCTAAATAATTCCAAAGTAGCTCTGATTGTAACTTTTTCCTCTCTCCATCCCAGTCTCTGCAGTTTGGAACCATCCAACCTCTAATCAGCTCCAATCAGCTTCCCTTTACCCAATATACTGAGCTTGGCTGTTTTGAAGGTAGTATAATATAATAAACGACATTGTGTACAAAAAAAGAATAAATTTCTTAATAAAAATCTTATTGCTCATCTACAATCTTGTTTAATTCATGGGACTTTACTTATGGTTATATATCAGAATCAGAATCAGAAATACTTTAATAATCCCAGAGGGAAATTACTTTACTTAATGTTACTTAATTACTTACTTAATATAATCTATTAACTAGAACAGAGAACTGTGAGCGTGCATTAGACTTTGAGTAAAATATTACTTAAAGTCTAATGCACGCTCACAGTTCTCTGTTATGATATAATGATGAAAATAGACATTATGTCTTTTCAAAACGGAAACAAAGGTTAAATGGTGATCATTTTTTAGCCGGTCTTATTGTGTGGCTTTCAGGTTCTATCTAGCAGAAACTCTCCACCTCTTTGATACTATTGTTGAACATGACATGTCACAAAAATGGACGTAGATAAGGCCTGACCCAACTTCAATTTATTTTTATCATCATTTTACTGGATACAAATTTAGAGTCTTTTAATCAGGCCAGTTTCACATCATTTGGATGTTAAACATGAAATACCAAAAAGGAGAAATATAACCTGGGACAAAAAGCAGAAATTAATTTTGTCTCTTATGTGTCACCGATGCAGCACTGCAGCAATGTTTGATGGTTTACTAGTAACTTCCATATGTACCCAAGCAAACTGAATAGCATCTATCATCATAGAGTTTATTTTCTCACGTGAACAGAAGTTCAAAATTTATGGAGCAAAGCGTCAGAATTACTCATCAGATCTCTGACACTGTTTGGCAAGAAAGAAAAGAAACCATGTTAGTGTAAGGTAACAAGATATGTTACCTAGGACCAGATTAATGGCCTTGTGATCAGACTTTTTTTTTAATGGAAGAGAATATTTAAGTTTATCGGCCTTAAAGTGCTTCTAGATAAAATAATTCCGGGAAGGGCATCATTTTCTTTCTTGGGGACACTAAATGAAGGAATGTATGGTGCTGGGGGGTGCTGCCCCTTGTAGCGAGCGGGAGATTTAAAAATATTTTATTAAAAATACTTTGCACAAATTATAGATTTCTTATGAATATTTTGGGAAATAATTTTTGCCTTTTTTAAATTTTACTATTACGTGTATTTGGATTTTAATTTAGTTATTTTGAGGCCTAATCAACACAAGCTCATGGAAGTTACGTTGTCATAGCAAGGTCAAGCAAGCTAAAGAGTGTTATCCAGCTTGCGGCAGCAGACTAGTAAATGTACATAGTCTAATGACAAAAACAAGGAGGAAATATGGCACAGAAAGGCATTTCGGATTTGTCCGCTCATGAGGGCCTCGTCGAGGACTAAGGCCTCCATACATAGGTTGTGTACGCTAACCACTGTGCCATCTACATGCCCGTTATTTTGAAGTTTAATTAATAGCACATTTATTCACCTGAGAACTGATGTCTGTGTTACAGACCCTGGTATGACAATAAAATAGTGAATCTTAATTTACTTAATTATTTTAATTGTATTTTAAATAGGCCTATAGGCTCATAGGTATTTTGCCCAAAAAAAACCAAAAAAGAATTCACAGCACCCCATGTTCAAAAGTACTTCCTGCAGCCCTGAAAGAATGAAATAGAAACAGGGCACTAGTTGATCATTTGATATATTAGGTGAACCAAAGAGCCATTTGCAGCTCTGGAAACCCCAGATGAAGCAGATGAAAGATGAAAACTGTGATATCTCAGTATGACTGAGGCTAAAAGTACAACAATGTTGTTTTTAAACCATTGCTAAAATAAAGCTGTAAAAATAAAAACTGAAATTAGTTCAAGGGACCTATCAGTGGTAGTTTCTAGGCCAAAAAATATCCCCATACATTTTTTAGCATTTTCTCTAGTAAAGAGGGCCTTAATGGGGGGCCAGGGCCAGTTCTGCAGGGGTACAGGCCCCTGTTTGCCCCGGTCTGGAACCGTCAATGGCGATGGTTATATTTCAGCTTCTGTTAAAGTAAGTCAAGTTTATTGTATTCTGTCAGAAAAGGGACAGATGGATAAAGTATTCAAGGTGAGACAGTCAGTAGGAAAGTTGCACCACTTTCATTAAAACAAAACAAACTGAAAGAGAACAGAACAAAAGCGCAGAGCTGTGGATCTCAGCTACTGCAGGGGGTGGGGTGCAACCCATCACTGAATCTCTGGAGGGAGAAACACAGGTAGGTGACCACAATCATCTGATGGAAGGTGATAATCCGTGTGACTCACTTACCTGGTTTAACAGTTCAGTCCATCTCCTTAGAGTGAGGTAGGATCTAGTTGATGCACAGCTAACTAGATGCGGCGTGGAGCCGCCCAGTGTGTTCCCGATAGAGCAGCCTCTGTGGAACCAGCAGAAAACCGAGCCAGGTAAGGAAAACAGTCCAGAACAAGGACAATTCTGAGATCCAGGAATCTCAACTCGATTGAGGGTTCCGATCCACACAGAAACAGACAGAAACAGGGTTCCAGGAATCCACAGAGTGTGAAGGCAGGTTCAGAGTTCCCCCAGTCCAGAAGCGTTCCCAGACAGACACGCAGAGATGCAGACAGGCAGGCTTAGGGACAGAGACAAGACGGGGTACCAATATTTCTGCAGGACTTTAAACTGGTCTCCTCCTAGGAGCCAGGCTTACGGGAATAAAACTGACCATTCCGAGCCAAAGGGCTCCGCAGAAAAGGATCAGGACACGATCAGAAGACAGGACAAACACTAAAACCCTATCAAACCACTGGCCAGCGGGAACGAGGACACAAACCTTGGAACTAACAAAAGTAAGGAAACAGACATACAGGCATGAGACAAACAATGATCTGGGCCCGATAGCTTGGCTGAGCCGAATATAAAGCAGAACCAGCAGGGTGATGAGATCAGTGATAATTAGGAGCCAGGCAGAATAACGCAGGTGAATGACATGAACAATTAAGGCTAGCTATCAGGGCAGATCATGACATATTATGTTTTTTATTTAAATCAATTGAGGTAGGAGGCTTAATATTTAAAGCTGGGTTGTTTTTTTTTGTTGTTTTTTTTTTGGAAAAAATATCAGTTTTATAGCATCTATCAATGCGGTCTCTTCCAGAAAAACGGAAGTTGCAAGGACATCAAGTACTTTGTTAAGTGACCAAAATTCCGCTCACAGCAGATTGCATACTGCATAAAGCGACCAAAGGCTTTGTCAGGTAAAGGGAGTCCTGAATAAAAAAGCAGATTTATTTTACCGGATTCTCTTTTAAGAGGTGGTCATGACACTCGCTCACAATGTGTTCCACTAACAGGTTTTTCTGTGGTTTTCAATTCAATTTTAATGGCATTTTATAAAATAAAACATTTGGTTTAAATGTTTTAACTTTATTTTATCACAAATAAATCAGATGTAGTAACATTTGTGATAGAGGTTCCACTAGAAAAAATATTTTTTTTATGGTCTTACCTTTAAAGTAGTATCAAGAATGTGCATTAAGATCTGGTAACTGTGGAGCTATTATTGATTTGTTTCTGTTGCATATAGCTTCTGTCTTACTGGAAAAGTAAGTCAAAGCTGATTTAGGGTCCTTCTAAATCTGTGCTCTGAGGTAATCTGTTTGCAATGTTTGCAGATATGAATTCCTGCAGCACAATGCAGCCACTGGAGTATTTGGCCTGACGGTGGGTGGTACACACGTCCCTCTGTCGCATACCCAACAGGCTGCGCTGCCTATTATGATCCAAACAATGGAAATCAGGCCCCAACTTTACTGGAAGCCACTCTAGATGCTATGTACGATTAGCCTTATATATACATAGCCCCAGTTTGTGTCGCTGAAAACGGGCACAAAACACGGAACAGCTTTTGTGCTGCAGCTCGAGGAAAAGAAAACTGCCTCTCCGGTCTTTACAATGGACCCTCAGTAATAGTTTTATTAGTGAAACAAACAATGCCATTGTTTATTTGGCTCCAAGGCGCGTTCGGAGCTCATCTAAGGTTTTTTTTTTTAAAGAATTTCACACTTTTAAGAAAATAAAAGTGTTTGACAGACAATTTAGGTTTGCAATTTTGATGGGCCAATATTTACTGGAGTGACATGAAACTACAGCTACAAGCTTGTATATATTCAGAATCCACTGACCTTTTTTTATTCTCAGAACTGATCTTTGACTGTTGGAAATGATTGCAAACACTGACTTTATCATGGAGTGGCCATGATGAGACAGATATCACCAAAAAGTAATAGAGGAACAGCTTCATTAATAATGGATGAATAAAAAGTGCTTGGTTTTATTGGAATGATGTGAGCCTGAACCAACAGGGCTGTTTTGCAAACAGTGGCTGGGCTTTCCTTGGCACACTCCTACTTCACTGTTGAGGAGGGAGACATGCAAATTTATCATCTCAAAAAAAAAAAGCAGATGAAAAAGGGAGGGCAGGCAACAACTCAAAGTCATAACAACTGAGGCTGAGAGACAGTAAAGTCTTGTCTTAATTTAGGCTTAAAGGAAAAAAATGTTTATCATTTTCCAGTTATGACATTAGGAAGCTTTTGGCAGTTTTAAAATAAATAGGATTATTTTACCTACTTTCCTGGACAGCATTTTGTCCTTGCTTCACAGCCATGGAAAATTCAAAGAAGACATAGCACAGGTAATTACAAACAGTACTCACCATCAGCTCTCCATATGGTTGGATTATAAAAGTTACTCTGAAATATGCAGTAAAAACCATTGTTGGTTTAATTTAATAAGCTTTAGTTAATTTATTTTGGTAGCAGATGCAAACCAAAATATTTTTATTTACAGTTCTAGTTCACTCAGTGATGGGTCTGTTCAGCTTTTATCTATGTCCAACAGAGAAAAATGCAATTTGACCTTGGAAAAATAAACTATTCCAGAAAGGCTTACTGTGAGAAAGGTTGGAGCAAATATGTAAATGTGTATGCATCTTTAATCAGCTTAGTGACAGCACAAAGTTAAGCTATTTAGCTTGCTGAACCTATTAATTCTGAAGCGGTTGCTCCAAATAAACAGCATATTGCCAGCAAAAGGTTTAGATACCACCTTAGAGAAAAAGTGTTTAACACATTCACTTCTGTTTTGGTTATATTTTATTTGGAAGTTGAAAATAAATAAATTTTTATTTCACTTTATTTGTTTTCGATTCAAAATTTGAAAGACAAAAAAACATTTTAACCATTGGCTTAAATGTAACTGTTTATGTTAAGTATATTTAGTATTTAAACTTATAAAATCTTTTTTTCAAGATGAAACCAAATAAGGGGTTTGAAAATTGCCACGCCAGTTTTATTGGATGGATTCTAACATTCAGGTTTTTCAATGAAGGCACCGGTTAAAATGTTCACATTATATTTTTACCCTCAGTAAAATACCAATTTCATGTTATCACAGTATCAGCTGAAAAATGAAATACTATAAATAAAAAATAAAATCTGAATATCTTTCAAAAAAGGAAACTTTATTTGGTATAAAGATATTCAGTATTGTGGTTAGAGGGCCTTACGTATTTTTAGGTGAGAAACTTTTTTTTTATTTAGGATTTAATATCCTGTGCAATAACCTGTTTCTTTATATTTAATAGCAAGTGCAATAACTGTATATAGATATAAATACAGATCTATATAAATACTCATGTACATACTCTGTGCAATAACCCTGTATAATCATCCTGCTAAATAAGAGACTTCAGCTGTCATATATATATATATACATGTGGATGCAGTGTATGTACCGCATATACCCCATGCACGTTTGAGAATATTTTTCATTTGAAAAGAAAATATATCAATGTAAAGAAAAAAAAATGTCAGCTGCAAATAGAATGTTTTTTATAACTAAATTTGTAAAAAGATGTTAAAGCTAGTTTTGCTATTGACAAAAAAGAAAATAAGACAGCAGTTATTTTGGTGTATTAATAAAAGAAAGGAGGATTTTTCAATTAGGATTTAGTTTAGCATGGGCATCATTCCCTATGGAGAAAACAAATTTATACTTCTTATTTTAAAGCAATTTTCTCTATGAATTTTAATTTTATATAAATTGATAGGTTCAAAATAGGTTTTTTAATGCATTTATCTCGCAATTTAATTAAGCTCTATAATCTCAATTGTAATTTGTGATATTAAACATTGCTTTTATAACCAATACAGTGTATGCTGTAACAGGTATACCTTTAATATATCAATCAATGCATTTTAAATAGAAAAGGATACAGGGTTCTAGGTAAATTGTTTATTATGAAACTTTAAGCTTCCTACTGATATAAAAAAAAACTACGTATTTTTTAAAAGGCTTTTTAGAAATATGTAAAATTGTAAAAAAAAAAAAAAAAAATGTGATAACCATCTGCATCCCCTATATTTTCAATTTAGAATTAAATATGTTCTAAATGCTATAGTTTTTGGTGAATAGTCCTTAATTTTCCTCATTAATTTTTATTTGACAGCTTAGGACTTAATATAAAATGAATCAAGCTGTTTAAATTATACCGGAAATTGGTGACAGTTTAGTTATTTTTATCTAAATTAACATTACTACTAAATAAAATACCACAAACATCAAAAAGTGTTCGAATAATTATTGTTTTGTATTAATCTTGATGATTTTGATATGTTATTAACAGCGCATGAATCCAAGCATCGGTTTAATTTTGTTGAATAACCGGAAGTGAGTTCAGTGACTTCCGGCGTTAAAATTAAACCTTCCAGCCTCTAAAATCCAAACCTTTAAAGGCAGGAGCCTCGTTGTTTCTATGGCAGCTGCACCTTTCTCTGACTTTAAACCCACAACGCTTTAAAAATTCCGCCTAAAAAGAAGAAGCGTTCTTGTCCCTGTTTTGGGTCTTCAGCCAACGTAAGTATCGTTAGCTAGTTCCACCGCTAGCTTCCTGTTAGCATGCTGCTTGCTAAATGAGGCGGGACATGTTACCGTGCTGGGAATGCATCTGCATACTTTAAATTCTACTGATAGGATTTTGATAAAGGTAATGATTGTTTACAAATGTTTTAAAAAACAGATTTTGAATAAATATATTTATTTCGCTAAGAGTTTTGCATGTAGCTTTATGCTAATTGCTGATAAATGAGAGCAGAGGGAGTAATAACATATCAGTCCATGTTTTATTAAGGAGGTAAATCTTTTTCATACAATGTGTCCAGAAAATTCAGCTTTTAGGTTGGATGTAATCAACTATAATATATATATTTTCCAGGTTTAACCTCATTATAATTTTTTCTTTATTATTTAAATATTTATTATTTAAATAACATGCTGCTGTCATTTTGCACATCTCTGATGTTGCTGCTATTTTCAAATATCCATTACTGTAAAAATGCCCATAGCTATATATTGGTTATTTATTCTCCATGTGTAAAAACACTTTACAGTACAGTATTCTGTTTCTTTCTGTAACTCCTCGCTATTCTGTTATTTTTAAACGCTTTTCTAAGGTCGACATTTGTGTGACCATTTTTTTCTATCATCTTTTTGCTTCTGTAACACCAGAATTTCCCCATTGTGTGACAATAAAGAGATTTTCTATTCTATCCTATTTTATTATCATCTCTCAGAGTCGATCATGAGCAAATGTGTGATTCTTACATCTGGCCAGTAAAAGTTTACCTCTGTAATTACCAGTTTATTATTGCAGACAGACTGTTATAGGGATACTTAGACTTAGTCGTATTTTATTTAGTCATTTTGTATACACAAGTGTAAACACAAAGAAATTTCATTAAGTACAGCTCTCTAGACTATTTCATTTTTTAAAGTGCAGGTAAGCAGCAGTGATAAAAACATTGTGATGAAAAAAAAGGGATGTAAACATATGACTGTAAAGTTACAGTTGCAACATTTCAGGTTTTTTTTATTATTATTATTGTTTTTATTGTACCTGGGTCAGACTTGGGTATTTTTGCGTTGTTTGCAAACAATGACAGACTTTATAGGACCCATTTTATTTATGTTGGTATGTATTATGCTGTAATTTCTATGTTTCTTTGAAGTTTATTCTGATAATATTTTATATGATGCTGTTCATTCCCCCGCCAGTAACTGTTTTGTCTGTGCTCTGTTCTCATGTGGTTCTTTGCAGGTGTACAACAACTACCCTGAGGATCTAGGGGCAGCTCTTTACAGAGAGCCGTTTGACTTCAACGCCGAGCCGCCTTGGGATCCTAGCTGATAGCGGACGAGTTCCTCACAGGACTCCTCCGTGTAGGTACATTAGGAGTCAAATCCTCTTATTTTAGTCAGAGATTACACAATTGTGTTTTAAGTGACCCACTTTTCCCCAGAGTGCATCTCAGTCTAAGGATATTTCTGTGATGTATTAAAATAAATGTCCAAAAATAAGATACAGAAAAGCTATACTTAGATTCATATGTCTTTGATGGATCACGCTGTGTTTTCTTTGCTGTAATAGATTTTCTGTTCATACCTTAATCTTCCCATCACTTCCTTAAAGTTTATCACAAACTAAAGTGTTTTCTAGGCATGTCTTCACTGACAGGTTTCAGCAGTGGATTTTACTTTATTTACAGTTAGAAGACTGCAAGAAGCACATATAATTTTT